TCTACATTTGACTCCTAAAATTCCAACTTGTCATGGAATTGTCATGAAAGATCTAAGGAAACCCGATCTGTGGAAAACAAGTAAACTGACACCTACAATTCATACTTTCTTTCAACTTGCAAAAAAAACCCCGTTGATTCTCATTTACTATAGATTATCAATTAAACTAAACCTTACATATCCATACATACATCATCCATACATCAATGCATATTAGATAATCATCACTGGGGTAAAGAAAACAGGGATGTCAATATGTAAGCTGGTCTGTATTTCACAGAGTAATTTCATTTAAACACTTGCCTATTTCCAATACCATTTAAATGTAGCCTATTTCAAATCCTTATCGAAGATATTTTTTAATAGGTTTAATAATCAACTATTGAAAGTATATAGTAGATCTTAAAAAAAATACTTTTACCAAAAATATACCAGTTAGGCTATCAACGAGTGATTCTTAATCACCGCTGAGTGTAACGACGTAAAAGTTTTAATGGATTGCTTTCTGGTTCTCGGTTAACTTAGAATTAATGTCAAAAGCACAAAATACGAAAGCTAGCATTTATTGTTTTATTGAAAATTAACTTCTCATCTTGAAAACCGGAAGAGACATTCAAGCCGTATTTAAACCATTCCGAAATCGGTTTACATTGAAATTGAATGACAATGCTTGGTCTGGTAATGGACGGTTATATTTATTGGGTAATCTTCAATTCTGGTATATTATTATGTTATCAACAGATAAATTAAATTAATAACGTCAGAGGCATTTATGGGGACAGAAATTTAATTTCGTTTAAGTGATGTTTAATGAGTACAAAAAACAAAATTACAATAAAAGGGTTTTTAAAAAGACTAAAAACATTACGCACGGGCTTAAGAGAAGGTCTGAAGTAATCCTAAGTACTTCATTGGCAACTTGACAAGATCGACTTATTGTAGTTTTTTTTCCAAATACTGTAACACACTAATAATATGAAAAACATTCTAGCTGCTATTCACCGTTTGACCTTTTAATAAATTATTAGATGTGGGTCAAGGGGTTGACGTTATACGGTTACATTCAATGTTAATGATAATTTATTTTATTGAATCAGGCTATTATCATTGACAAGTTAAAGAAGAAGACTTTCCAATTCTATACTCTACTTGAAATGTAATCACTATCAGGATAAAAGTTTCTTTGACTCGTGTATTCATATCATGATGAGGACACTTCATCTCCAAACGAGGTCTTTGTTTCAATAGCGGGCCACTTATAATGTCCTGGCGAGGATCCGGTACTTGACAAAAATATGTTAACCTCATTAAAATTCATAGGACACGTTTTAAAGAGTCTGGACGTCTTCTTAATGAATTACAATTATGCACATCAATAACATGTATATTAAATGGAACATTTATGCATAATCAGTATTATATAATTTTAGATAAGGTTTAAAATGTAAACTTGGTGATAAACCTACGTCAATATCTAAAACAAAAAATATCTTGAAGATATACCTTCATAAAAGGACTAATTAGGTAACTTTATAGGACAGAGCTTCTAATGACATTTCGTTTAGTCTCAAAGTACTGTAAAATTATGTCTGGTTCGAAATTTAAAAAAATCGTATTATAGGCCTGATTACTTTTATTATTTTATTATTTTTATTACCTTGATTACTTTATATGATTATTTTTGCTACAAAGCGTAATGTAAATACACCATTGGATAGTTGCAATTCACACATCGATAAACCATAACAGAATTTTGAACACTTCGTTTTTGTGATGCACTATGAAGTAAACTACATTCCCTGTGGAAGTGTGATTGTTTTATGGTATAACCATTTAGGACATTTGTAACCGTGACTAAAAGTTTATTGGTTTATTTCCTTTGCACCCGACAATGTGTACAATACACGAATCAAAATGTTAGTAGACAAATACATTTCATGCACTCTTAACCAAAAGAATATTTCCAAGCAAGACCGAATATTTCAATTGGTTGTTTATAATTCGCCTAATGCTTATAATTTAATATCTAGAAACAAAATGTTATGTTTCGCATAATAACACAAAATAATACATCGTTATTATTTATTATAATTTAAGCATTTCCTACAAATGTTAATAGTGATTTTGTTTTAAATATTAAATATGAAAACAACAACCAAAACATTATTAAAATGCATAAAACTTGGCCAAATTGATTTTTAGTAATTAAATTACGTTCTTCATTAACAATCCATTATTGATTTTAACAAAATGATACTCTGAACTCATACAACATGCTAAATAAAAACCTGATCTCTTTAGTGGTTTCCAAACAATTAACTCGTAGTTTTATTAACTATATAATTTTTTAATTACATTTTAATTAGTTTTGACATTAAAACATTTATCATTTTGAATCAGAATCATTCCAGTTATTATATTATGATATTATTAATATGTTTTATTATTTTACAAAATTGATTTATATGTTTTAAATAATCACTGAACTCTACAAATTGTAATATATTTATTTATAATTGAGATGACAAGTGTCGATGTGTTTGCTATATAAAAATTGTACATTCGACACTTTGAATTAGTAAAATCGCTTTTTCGTTGTCATATTATTAAAGTCAGTAATGTAATGTTCAAAACTATTGTAACATTTAATATTTCACTGAATTATATTTTTTGTTATTGTCATTTGTTAATAATTTAAAGCTCAAGATCATTCTCCTTTATTACATATATTAACTTTGGCAATTATCCCCATCGATACATTTAGAATATAGTGGTTCTTACAAGAACCTAGACTGAAGTAAATAATTAATTTAACAAAAAGCAAAGGTGTATTGTGCACAATGACACAACGGTCACTCGGTAAGATTAAAGCGCAAGCTTAGGGATCTAAATTTAAATCCTGTAAAACACCGATGCATTTAAATTTGTTTACAATGTCGGTCTTCCAGCACAATATGTAGTTTAAGTAAATGCACATTTAAAATAATAGGCCATTTTGTGCAAAATTTGCTCTCTCCGCATTTGAAGCCTCCGCATTTGAACACCTAAAACCATAGATTATTTATTTTTTTGTTGCTGATAAATATTTTAGTAGAATATGGAGCAAGTCTGCATCAAGCGCGTTTATTTTTCGAAAAATATATTCCAAGTCATTAAACAAAGATAAGTAAAAGAGTGGAAGTACTGATGTTAACAGTTTATTGGAATTCCAAAAAGTTTTAATGGTTTTAAGAGTTTGTTTTAAAGCCTCGAGTCTTAAACTTTCAATCACCAAACACTTCTTTAGTAACAATTCAAAAGCTTAACACTGCTTTCATGAAAATACTTCAGTGAACTTATTAAATATTCTTGAAGAGTATTTATCGCCTGTGTAATCTTTTATTTTGAATTTTTTGTTCATGTTTTTATTAACTTGGTTTTATTTTTCATCCACCTAAAATATTCAAACATTAAATATTAGGAAAACGTGTCTATATTGGAAACATTGTTATGCGTAAAAGTAATTTTATATTTTATCAGTATCTGTATTTCAAAAATTATATGTTGGTGATTAATAACGATTGGCTGAATATCTTTTTTATTCAACACATGTTAAATGATACAGGATGTCTAATGTGTCGTCATTAAAATACTGTATTATAATTTCACAAATCAATATTTCACAAACATTCAATACAGTATTATTATTCGACCTATCTAAACAACATTTAAAGGTGCTACTTTCTAAAATGATGCATGATAAAATACCGAATAAATAAGTAAAATTACTCTTGTCCTTTTAATAGAACTCAAAGAACGTGTTCAAATAATTGATAGTTGCCAAGTAAATAGATGCATTTGTTTTAATACATACACCTATAATGTATTTGAAATGTATAAAAGAAATCTACCTCTTGTTAAAATGTTTGCCTTGCAGAACCCGGTTCTGATTTGAGAAATTGATTACCTTCATTTTGGAAAGATGTCTAGGAAAAATAAAAATATACCACGAGTAATATAGCCAGGAACCAAAACCTCATCCCATATCTCTTAAAATCCTGACAAAGCTCCGGAGGGAATAAAGGATATATTACGTGGAACAAATTGACTCCATTGTGTGGCCTTCATCAGTTGTGATATTGGTCTGACTAATCCAGATATTATATTTTATATCTCGTATTATGTTGGATGAATTTTTTTCTATCCAAAATATCTTCAACCTCATCAAAGATATTAAAAGTGATAAATTGTACAAGTACATGTACATTGATGTGAACAGAATTAGCTGCGGTAATACTATAAACACTACTGTGATAATTTATTTCCTCAATCAAAAAGCTCAGTTCTAGTTTTTTAAATAAGGTGTCTTGACAGTAACGATGGGTGAACCCTTGTAAACTAAGTCATTTATTTGTATTAGTTTCCTTTAACCATCTTCTTAAGGATTTATTGGTTTGCAAGTGACTATGAAGAAATATATGGTAAACTAGAAGTGCGTTCTTTCTGACCAAGATTAGAATCTTATTAAGGATCAATGGCTTTTACCAATGAATTAGTGCTATGATCTAGTTGTTCTAAACCATTTTAAGTTGTACTTGTAGGCTACATCCAAAAATCGAAAATTTGTATAGGTTTTTCTTACGTAAGGATACTTATCGTCCCTATAGAACTCCTTCCCTTACATCTATAGGCTAATCCAATTCCTTCAGGATAACTGATTGTCAAAGGAACCGTAAACAAAAATGTTCAATTTACTTTTAATAAGTTCAAGTTTTTTATTTGCATAGATGAATCAGCACGTTTTCTGAATACATGAAGACACTTTTGATTTTTTTAAATAAAAAAATGAACAAACAAACTTTGATCACCAAAATTGATCAATCACATTATTGAATGTAAAACAATTAGATTCTGTATTTCTATGTTATATCAAACTTATCAATAATCCTTTTGTATATTCAATATCCTTAGTAATAATTAGATTTTATTTTATCTTTGGAAGTAGAAACATAAATGGTAAGGAACTCATCCACGGTATTCATGAGTCACATAGTTATCCGATTTATCCAGCATTAGTTTACACCTCTTCACAACTTGTCTGAGTATTTTGCAGTTAAATGGATCTATCTCGCAGTAAGACTTTCCCCCGCAATACATATAGTTCAGTTTCATTTTGTCCATTTTGGATAGAAGGCCGGCTTTGTTACCGATGTCTTCCTGAAAGTTAACAAGAGTTCAATTTAGTTTACGTTACAACAGTATATACTTACTATGTATTGGCACCTTTAATTCTAAGAGGGACGGTTAAGTACCCTCTGAGTAAAAATGGACATCAAACTAACCCTGTCATTTAGGTTATTATCATTCTATTAAAAGGTCCTCATAAGCTATACACTCTTTATAGAATGTTGCTTCACAAACATACGGGGATGAAAAATGTATTAAATTTACTCACCCCTAATTGTATAGGAACCATATTTTTGCTTGGTGGGTAGTGCATGATGCTCTTCACATCGTACGGAAATGACGTGGATGTGTCCAGTGTGACTGCGTAGTCATACGGACTTTCTACTGAAAAAATAAAGTAAAATTACTACCAAACAGTATCCTGTTGAAATCCAATAGTTTCCTTACGTACGTTAGTTTATCCTAAAAGCTTAACATTATTTTCCACGGAAAAGAGCAAAGAGAATTAGCTGAAAATTTGTACGTTTTCCTCAATTGTATTTAATGTTTAACCAAGTTTAAAAATTAATTAGCGAGTCCAGAAGAAGGCTGACAGTATAGTGGTCATGGTGGATAGAAAAACATCTTTCAGGCAATACTTAACTACAATTATGAGGTCTCCCTTGATCATCGTCCCAAAACCTTCATTCTCGTAAAAACTTAAATATTATCTACTTATTGTTAATCACTGCATAACAGCTCACTCATCAAACGAATTGTCAGTGAACAGCATTCTCTCAGAGAAACATAGTTTACAAAGTAATAAGTTTTACAATTTACTTCATCCTTTTCTTTATCTAATGCAAAATTTTAGGGGCTTCAAGAGAAAGCTTTAAAAAACGTTCTCATGGACCATGCAATTTTGAAAGTATAACCACGACGACATTTTTTTGTATAATCTTATTTTATTTAATAACTTATCATGCAGAGGCTGTGTCGTGACTTAAGCGAATTGTATTTGGTAATTTGGTAGAGCTAATAAGTTATTAAGTTACATTTAAGGCATGCTGTAACTTGCCAGGTCCACACGCGCTTCTGTTATTTGTCCGACTTACATATAGCCTTTTTGTAGACCCAGACGAAGCAGTCCCTGTCCAATCTCTGTTGCTCGTGTATGAAGCCCAGGGTGTGTAACATCTCGTGGCGGATGGCTCCTCTGTAGCCATGCATCGCGCCGAAGCATCTATCTCCCAGGTCGAGGGTCTGTCTACCTCCTATTCGACCGACAGTTGTGCTGCAACTACGGAAGGAGGAGTGAGAGCTTAGACCATGGAATTATAGTTCATCAAAACAAAAGTGATTCCCTTCCGTCCACAATTGAACTTTCCATCTCCACAGTTATTTGCCTAGTAAAATATTATTTTGACGAGTCCGGATGTCATCATAATGAATATATATCTCAATACCTGAGACATTTGTCCGTTGTTGATTCAAGACAGCTGAACTTGCAGCTTAAAGTTGGTTTCGAATCATCGAACATGATCCATGGCATTATCACATCGGAAAAGGGTTAGATAATGAGATCTAAACCCAGACGTCCATAGCGAATGTTGTAGCGGATGTAGTTTGAGCATAAACTACAGTAGTTGACGACGTTAAGGTGGTCAAGGTAAGGGTTGTTTTTATATGAAACACTTAACACACTTCCTTCGTAGCTAAAACCAGTCAATAGTATGAACCTTTACTGAAGTAAAAGTTGAACAATGATTTAACATACATAAATTTATAGATGTGATCCTCAGTTTTCTTTGTAATACGAGAAAATTACTTTATACATCTATAACTTATGACAGATTTTTAGGTATTACTAATGTTACTACACAATTTTTAAACAGTCGTTGTTTTGAAGGAAATCGCATAAATTAGGTATTACAAAAAACATCGGTTTTACAGTTTCTCAATTATTGAATTTGTCATCAAAATTTTCTGTGTTGTAAGACCATTTCCTTCGAAATCGCTCCTTTACGTTGAGGGGTTGAGGAACGAGTTTATGAGGGTTAAATAATTAATCAGACATTGATCAAAGCCTCAGTCGCAAAAAATATTCTTGCTTGTGCCTACACCAGTGGCACTTTCATCGATAGACACCAAAATAATATAAGTAAAGCAGCTCCAAAACCTATCGATGTGTCGCGCTTGGGGTCAAGTACTAGCGTATACTAGCTCACTCCACCCTTAACTAACAAAGTAGCTTACGCAAATTGTCTATTCGTAGATATGTTGACATACCCTTGTGCCAGTAGCTTAAATGTGATGTATTATTTTGTAAGTGCATACCTAGTTACAAAATAAAAATATTTCAACTTACGATTCTGGAACTTGGCTGCGCACTATTTCAACGTAGTCATATATAATATAAATCATCAATGAATATAAATCAAATTCATGATTAGTAATTGTTTTTATTAATAACCTCGGAATTTAAAAAATCCTTTGGTATAGAAGTACTTTGGAATAAAAATTGTACTAAATCAAATATTAACGTCAATGTATCTAAGCCCACATTGCATTACCTGCCACCGATATAATGATTATATACACCTAATATAACACGCACTTAGTGAATGTAAATATAATGGTATATTTTTATATCAAGAATAAAATAAATGGTGATATTAAACAAGATAACTAATGTGGGTGGACCTTAACGCTTATGTGAACGAGTTTAAGAGGACATTTAACGGAGTGTAAAATAAAATTTTTAGTAGTGATTTTTTTTTTGCAAAATCAAATTACGCTTCTGGTTATATTTTATATCTTTCAAATTAATGTTGAAATACATCAACAACCACTCTACGTATTCATATTTTCATTGACGTAGGTAGAAGCAGATTACGAAATAGTTCAATATGTTGTATGTTTTGGAATTATCACTAGACAATAATGTGATTACGTTTCACCTCAATTAATTATGTTTACTCAAATTTTACCTAAGGCCGGGGCCACACGTGGCGGATCGTCCGCGCGGCTTATGATCGTACGATCATAAGCCGCGCGATGATGTCCCGGCCACACGGAGCGGATGAACCGCTTCCGGTTGAGGTTTCCCAGCCTACGCACTGAGATTATGGTTTGATTCACTTGTTCTCGTTGTAGTCATGGAATAAACACGTATGTTATATAGTTTGTGCATTAGAAGCGTGTGGTGAGCTAGAGCCTAAGGCAAACCGAAATCATTGGGTCCATCATTTCATTACCGATAAACCATTTGTGTTCCAAACCTTTTACGAGCACAAGCGAAACCATAGTTCGGAGTCTTTTATTGTTACTATCGCATGTAGATAGCATCGTTTGACGAGCTACTTCAATTGCTTTGACCGCATATAACTAAGAAAGATATCCTCATGAGAAATGTACAACATGAGAAATCCCACATTGTGTTTGACAAGTTCTATTGATTTGTCCGTATCAAACATTTTACACCTATAAACCGAAACGCACAAGCATAAACGAAAAAAAAACAACTACAAATGCTTAAAAATGAGCTCCAGCCGCGCGGATAATCCGTATCGTGTGGCCACTCTCATAAGACTACGTGTGTCATCCCCTCCAACGCGGCTTATGATCGCGCGGACAATCCGCGACATGGCGCGGACAATCCGCCCGGGCGGCTTAGGATCGCCCCGTGTGGCCACTCTCATTTGATTCAATGTGAGTAGTATTGTTATGGGTACCTTGCGCGATGTGCAATTGATGTGCACTGATGTGCCAGACCACCCACGGTGGCACCTCCCCCCCCCCCTCACCCTGCACCTCCCCCTGCACCTCCCCCTCCCACTGCACCTCCCCCTCCCCCTGCACATCCCCCTCCCACTGCACATCCCCCTCCCACTGCACATCCCCCTCCCCCCTGCACCTCCCCCGCCATGCACCTCCCCACGCCACTGCACCTCCCCTCCCCCTGCACATCCCCCTCCCCCTGCACATCCCCCTCACCCTGCACATCCCCTTAGTCATCCTGCACCTCCGGATGTGCAAGACCACCCACGGAGCGAAGTGCTGGTGGCTATCCCTTTGAAGCTTCGATACAATGGAAAGCAATTATCGGTGGCGCTCTCTTTGATGTTTCGATACACCGGCACATCCTGGGATGTGCTAGACCTCCAACGGAGAGAGGTGTAGTCGGCTATCCCTTTGATTTTTCAATACAACGGAAAGCAATTATCAGCGGCACTCCCCTTGATCCTAGGATACAAAGAAATCCACTTAACAGGTGATTGACAGATCCATTAGTAAGACCATTACATTTGACGAAGGTGAGCAAATCTTGACAAGCATCTAAAAAGCTTTGTTTAGTTCACTAACAAAGGATCCTTTCGAGAACGTTCCTTTGATTGTCGACGACAAAGGAACACCTGTTGTTTACCACTGGATCTTCGTGGAGTTTCCACCCTCCGTGCGTCGTGTCTCTGCCTATTGGCACAGACAAAGAAATCCACTTAACGAGTGATTGACGGATCCATTATTTGAGTTTCTAAAAGCTTTTAGTAAGACCATTACATTTGACGAAGGTGAGCAAATCTTGACAAGTATCTAAAAAGCTTTGTTTAGTTCACTAACAAAGGAAACCTTCTAGAACGTTCCGTCGATTGACACCGACAAAGGAACAAGTGTTGTTTACCACTGGATCTTCGTGGAAGATTCTACCCTCCGTGCGTCGTGTCTCTGCCTTTTGCCACAAGAGCTTCAGTTAGGGTTTGGAGTTCGCTGGGTGCAGTTGTTAGTTTCTTAGCTACCACGCTCAACGGAAATTAGTGAACAGTGTTGTGCAAGTGTTTGTTTGGATTAAATCGTAAGTACTAGAGTTAATATTAATACATAATAAGTGTATAATAGTATTACTACACATTTTAGGAGATTTAACAATTATAATAACTGTCTTTGGCATATTGTGTAATCATCGAGTCAAAGGCAGTGTTTATTTTTTTTAAGAGTCTATCTCATGAAAAAAAAATATTTTAATATTATTGTACTTTAAACAAATTGAAATCCATTAAAATCAGTTGTAATTATTATACATGTCTTTATCATATTGCATAAACGTCAAGTCAAAGTCAATGTTAATTTTCTGTGAGTCTATTTTGAATAATATTTTAATATTGCTATTTCATTTTATTTTAAAGATAAATTTATATTATTAAAAGAAGTACTCCTGTCTGTAATACGAGGCGTTATCATATTGCAAAATCATCGAATCACATTAAACATTACTATGTTTCTTTGAACAATATTTCTAACACATATACATTAAAAATAAGTTCAAATTTTTTCAATTCAATTCAATTCAATCAATTTCATTCATGCAATTCTTAAATTAATTACATAATCCCATGTGCCATGCAAAGCACGCGCGGGATGAAAAACACATTTCATTTTCTTGTTTCTGGCAGCAAACAGTTCATTTTTCCTTCTTTGTAACTTTAACAGAACAGTGAGTAGACATTTCCTATTGCAACGAAATCCATTAAAATCAGTTGTAATTATTATACATGTCATTATCATATTGCATAAACGTCAAGTCAAAGTCAATGTTAATTTTCTGTGAGTCTATTTTGAATAATATTTTAATATTGCTAGTTCATTTTATTTTAAAGATAAATTTATATTATTAAAAGAAGTACTCCTGTCTGTAATACGAGGCGTTATCATATTGCAAAATCATCGAATCACATTAAACATTAAAAATAAGTTCAAATTTTTTCAATTCAATTCAATTCAATCAATTTCATTCATGCAATTCTTAAATTAATTACATAATCCCATGTGCCATGCAAAGCACGCGCGGGATGAAAAACACATTTCATTTTCTTGTTTCTGGCAGCAAACAGTTCATTTTTCCTTCTTTGTAACTTTAACAGAACAGTGAGTAGACATTTCCTATTGCAACAGTTTTAATCATATAAATAACACTTATGTTATAAATATAAAAAAAAATTAGAATAATTTAATAAGAACACGGTTTTTAGAAAGACAATAAATTCTACATGCAAATATAAATATAGTTATTTATCTAAAACAAAGCTAAAAATAAGTTACAGATTATTTATGCTATATTATGAATGATAGGAAGCAACAAAGCTTTTGACTTTATAAAAATTTTAAAAATAGTTTGTTGTGTGGGTGCGCGTGCGTGTGGGTGCGCATGCGTGTGAGTGTCTCCCCCTCACCCCAGCACCTCCCCCTCACCCCTGCACCTCCCCCTCACCCCTACACCTCCCCCTCACCCCTGCACCTCCCCCTCCCCCTGCACCTCCTCCTCCCCCTGCACCTCCCCCTCCCACTGCACCTTCCCCTCCCTCTGCACATCCCCCTCCCCCGCCCCTGGTCATCCTACACCTCCGGAACTGAGTGGTTACTATATACTGCATACGGTATTATTATTTTTTTTTTTTTTTTTACTCAAATGCTATTCTATTTTTTGAATATGTGACATTGGTTCAGGACAGGTTTAGCTTAAATTTTAGACTACACTGGCATAATCAAAGATATTATTTATTTTTTTTATGAATAATTAATTATTATTTCTGTCGCGTGTCTTGCTGTAGATGAACGGAGACGTGCAATCACCACCGCCGTCGACGTACCTCGGTCCGAACGTGTGTCCCGTGTGCGATCGACCATTCTCGTGTCATGAACACGCCCTGCACCATTATCAGTCGGTCCACCTACAGACCGGTGGATACGAGTGTGAATGTTGTGACAGGACGTTTTCTTGTCATGATCATGTTCGAGAGCACTATGCGGTGACTCACGCGTCGCACTGTGGTCCGTTACCAACTCCGCCGCAGACTCACCATCAACGGTTTGAGTCGCCGGAGATTGATGATGACGTCATTGTCATTGACGACGATGACGACAATGCATCGGGGACGATCGAAGAGCTGCTCGACGTGCCTATGCTTACTGATAGTCAGCTAGAACCTGAAGGTTTGTATATTAATAAAATAAAAAAAAAATAAATAAAAAAATAAAATAAAGTTAATTGTATGCATTCATTCGTTTTAATGACCGAATTTTTTTTACATTGACAGGATAGAATTATTCTTTCACATCTGAACGAGGAGAAGATTATTTATAAATGGCTCATAATTAAATTTTAATTTATTTTAACAAAAAAAAAACTCATTGCAAATAGGTCAAAAGAATATATATTTATTTAAATATTCTTTCAAAATATACGACATTAACTATTCTGGGGATCGTTATTGTTTACTATAGAAGCAGAGACAGCCACATGTCGGTGCTGCATGGCGTCGTTCGGGAGCCGGCGTGAACTTCGGGATCATCTTCGGGTGACCCACCTCGTCAGCGTCCAGTCGACCCTGGACGAATGGGCCGGT